TCCAGCTTCTGGTCAGACAGAGGAATAGAGAGAGCTTGTCCCTAAACTGCCTCTCCTTTTTCTACCTCCTGTCACTGTTATTCCTGATGTTGTACCATTTCCTTTATTAAACTTAGTGTCTGTATAGCTTTTTATCTTAACTGTTTATTTAAAATACATCATTTTTGTGTAGCAGTTTTGTTTTCATTGTGACAATTCTCTACCTTTTTTCTGAGTGTGGTATGTTGATGTTTAAGTTACTATTGCTATGAATGGATTTAAGTCTTATTTTGTACTTTGTTACTAGAAAAGTACTGTCCTGGGTTTTTTTCATACCTTTTTGGAGGTTTTTTTTTTTTTTTTTGGTCTTTTTGAGACAGGGTCTCCCTGTAGCCCCAGCTGACCTGGAATTCACTATGTAGACCAGGCTGGCCTTGAACTCACAAAGATCAACCTGCCTCTGCCTCCCAAGTGCTGGCATTAAAGGCGTGTGCCACCACGCCTGTTTTTTTTGTTTTTTGGGTTTTTTTTTTACCTTTTTTTTCCTGTATGCCTTTAGGATATCTGTGGGTTTAAATTTTGGTTGCTTCTTAGACTATAATATACATCCTAAGCTTTGTAACAATGCAATTGCTTTTTACATTTGTTGTGTTTGTGTTACTGTTGTATATAGTTTAGAGCCACATGTTCTTTGAATTCCAAATTTTGATCCTACCACGTTCTTTTCATAGAAATCATGGGAAAATAATATCACCTTTTGTATTCACCTATTCATATTTTTCAGCTTTTAATTTTTTCCTGTAATTTTAGATGTTCTTCTGTTGAAATTTATTTTTATCCTGAACGTTCCTTTAGCATTTATTTTCTGCAAAGTCTGCTAGAAACAAGTTAAGTTTTAGTTCATCAGAACATATTTTTATTTTGACTTCTTTTACAAAGGACTTTAGTTGTTTATAGACTTTTGAATTAAAAAGTTTTTTTCCTGTCAGTTCTGTAAAGATGTCCCATTGTCTTCTGACTTCCATTGTTTCTTAAGAGAAATTGTTGATTCTTAAGCCTCTGTAGGGAATGGGTTGTTCTGCCCTGGATGCCAAAAATAAGTCAGAATTTAAAGGCAGTAAGAACGAATTTTGTTCAGTAATTTCTGCATTGGGGGAAGGCGTGAATTCAATATTGACTTATATAGAGGCAACTGAGCATGGAAGAAAAATATAGGGACTTGGGCAGAACCAAGAAAGTGAAGTGGGGGGGTGGTGGGGGAAGGCCTTAAAAGGACCATTCAGTGTCAATGCAGTTAGGCGTGCCTGTGTGCTAACTTGATGTTTATTAAAGTTAGAGATCACTCTTCTCTTAGATTGAGAGACAGAGGACTTTAAAGCATTGGCTTTCAAGTCTTTGAGGAAAAACTCTCTTGATTTGTAGAACAATAAATCTCTCAAGGAGCTAGAAAAGATTTAAGATAAGAAATTTCCAAAGGAGAGGGTATAGTCTGTCATATGGTATTGGGTAATTTAAACTCTTTGGTGTTTATTGAACTGCTTGGCTGTATAATTTTAGTTTTTTCCTAAGTTGAAAATATTTTGAGAATTGCAAATGTTTCAACCATATTATTTCAATTTTTTTCTATTTTATTCTCTTTATGTAACATTGTTTTATCAGTCTTTTTATTTAAAAAGTTTTGGTTAGGTAATTTCTGCTAATTTGTAAACTCACTGACTTACTCTTAAACCATTGTTTTATTTTTATTATTATTATTTTTTTGGTGTTTGTAATTTCTGGTTTTACCATTTCTATTTGATTCATTTTTATAGTTTTCATTAGTTGACATTCCTGACTGTTCATGAGCAGATTCATGACAATTACTTTCAAGCACTCACCCGACCTATTTTTGTCGACTTTTACTCTGACTGGGGTAGCTTTTGTATACTAGATATTTAAGATGAAGCATTATAGAAACTTGGGATTCTGTTCTCTGTCCTCTGAATTGTGATTTTTTTTTTGTTTGTTTGTTTGTTTTAGTAGGTAGTTTTTAGTGACTTCATAACTCAGGTTTTCCCTCTGATGTTGGCAATGGCTAGTCTCAGTTATTTGAGACTTCCAGCCACTGGTTTCATTAAACTCTCAAAGTGTATCTATCTACATGTGTCAGTCAAGGATTTGGGCAGAGCTCATAATAGTTTGAAGATTCCTACCTGTGGCTCCTTTATTTACATTTAAACTGTAGGTTTACTCTTAAATTTCAGTTGCCCTGGCCAGCTGAGACAGGGGACTGCCCTCAAGTGCAAAGTCTTGGAAATGCTGCTCTTACGCAACACAGCATACCTCTTCTGCAATTTGTATCATATTTGGTTCAGAGTTTATTATTATCTAGAGGAAAACTAACCTGATTGAAGCTACTGAACATTACTAGAAGCAGAATCTCCACTCTGTTTTGTTAGTGTATTTTTCTAATTGTATACTTTTATAACTAAAAGAGAGTTTATAATGTACTTCTGAATCTGGTAGGACTAGTCTCCCTTGTCTTCTCAGCATTTTCCTAGTGGTATTTGTGTGTGTTACACTTGAAAAACCCTGTCTGGAAATTAAAAATTATTGTATTGTGATTACATCAAATATATAAATTAAGGATATGTTTTTCACTTAGTGTACTTTTGTGTTATTTTAAAATTGTTTCTTTGTATAACCACATATGCTCTAGTTTTATGTTATAAAAAGTGGATCCTTTTTATTTATTTATATATTTTTATGTATTTTTGTCTTTTTGAAACAGGGTCTCCCTGTAGCCCCAGCTGGCCTGGAACTCACTATGTAGACCAGGCTGGCCCTGAATTCACAGAGGTCTGCCTGCCTCTGCCTCCTGAGTGCTGGGGTTAAAGTTGTGCCCCACCACACCCAACTGAATCTTTTTTTAAAAGAAATTATTCTGAGTGAATGTTGTGTTGCATACATGTAATCCCAGCATTTAGGAGGCTAGGCAGGATCATGTGTTTCATTCACACCAGTTGAGGGGACACACACACACACACACACACACGCATGCACACACACGCACAGAGAAAATGTGCAAATATTTTATTTACTAGAATATTTTAAAATACATTTTCTAGTTTTGTGAGAGAGATAACAATAAGTGATAGAACTGAAACTTAATATGGCATGGTACAGCTGGAAAATGGCTTAGTTAGATTTGGTCTGGGTCTGTCTGCTTCTAGACCAATTGTATGTTCTTAGCAATTACTGTTTGTTCTTTGATTTACTTTAAGTTTCGTTAGAGTACAACTTCAGTTCTCTGGGCCTTAGATTCTGGTTCTTATGTCAGTGTCAGCAGCTTGAGTGACGTCTTCTTCCTACTGCCATAACAGAATAATCTCTGACCTACACTCTTGTTATTTTTCTTAAATTGTTTTCAAATTATTTGTATACTATTTCTTTTATGAACTCAGAGTCACAAGATTCTTAGATAGAATTTAGGTGATTCTGTGATTTAAACTGTACCATGCTGTATTTTCTGTCTTTTTATATAAAAGAACCATTTATGCTAAAATCAGTGGTCTTAAAATCAGTGCATTGGGGAGTGGCGAAACAAATGTCTAAATTATTGTGCACCCCCCCCAGTCACTTTTGTAGTTTGATAATGTTAAAAGTGAGATATTATCAGCTGGGCATGGTGGCATACATCTTTGATCCCAGTACTTGGGAGGCAGAGGCAGGTGAATCTCTGTGAGATCAAGGTCAGCCTGGTTTACATAATGAGTTCCAAGCCAGTTGGGAATACAGGAGACCCTGTCTAAAAAATAAAACAGAGAAGTCAGACTATCTGAAATCACTCAAGGCTGTCTAGGAGAATTTCCAAGCATGATCTGTTTTCCTTTCTGTCCCTTCCCTTTCTTCCCCAACTGTTCAATTATAGTTGCTCTATCTTAAACTAGGGTTTTCCTGTAGTCAGGAAAACTGTTAAGGGGCCCTCACAAATGACTGTTGCCTAGCCTCAGGAAGCCTGTACTTCCTCCACTGCCCTTTGAAATGTTGATGTAGTTAGCTCACTAGTGCTGTGTAAAATTGGAATTTAATCAATTGTTTATTTTTTTAAAATTGTCTTGAAATGTTCCTTTTTTTATTTTTTATTTTGTTTTTGAAAGTTTGTTGACTTTGTAGGATATGAGAAATGGAATTGGGTTTCAGGACTTACCTGTGACTGATTTTTGAAGTACAGCTTCATACCTGAGAGACAAGGCAATCAAAAGTTCCTTTCAGGAAAAGTAGGGTGAATAATCTTTGAACTGCCCATGTTCTAGAAAGAAATGGGGAAGAAAAAATTTCAAGTTATCTATTTTTCCTCTTGTAAATGAGTGGCAAGAAAATAATTATAATTTTCAGTGAAACAGATAACCTAGAAATCTTAACTGTGGATATGTGTCTAGTTTATTTTTATTAAACTTACTCGGAGACAGGGTTTCATGTAGACCAGGCTGTCTACTTACTGTGCAACTAAGGCAGGTGATGGACTCTTGATCCTCCAACCCTCAAGTGCTGGGATTACAGGTGTGTGCTACCATATCCAACTGATTAATGTTTAATTTTAACTGGAAATTTTCCTGTATTAAAAACACATGTTGATAATTGACAGCTGCATTTAGTTGAAGTGTTTATATACTGTTGTTTTTTTAAAACTGGAAAATAAAATGAAGCACAGTAAGGCTGATGGCATAGGATTAACTCTTGTTTTGAGAAAAGGAAATTGGAAAGGACATTATAGGTATGATTTCATTAGGCTAGAGAGCATTAGTATTCACATTTTAAAAACATAATCATAACTTATCTGGAGTCACATGTTCCATTTTATTGGCTTCCTTCATATAGAAAATATAGTCGCCAGCACTAAACCTATGAAAAAGTGAAGCAGTGTATATTTTCTGGGTGAAGGAAGTATTCTGTACATTCTCCATGTTTTACATCATGGTATTTTGAATAACCATGCTTCCATGTTCACATCAATTTTTTGTTTTTCAATTTATGCACAGCACTTGCTCTGAAATTTGGGGACTGAGTACAGCAAATACGATAGATCAGTGGGATACAACAGGCCTTTACAGCTTCTCTGAACAAACCAGGTGAATATTCTGCCCTCTATGGAATCCTAGAGATCTTGTGGGAGGGGGGTGTTTTGGAAGACCTCTACTGGGTTGCTTAGTGTAATTTTGTCTAGGATGTAAACTTAATGTAAAATAAGGCATAGCATTTAAAATACCTGCTTGCCGGTATTAAAAATATATTAAATGTTTCAGCTGATGTTTTGATTTCAACTTCAGTTTTCAATCTTTAAATTGTTGTGTCCCCTAAAGAGTAAGAACTTGATGATTACATACTTACAGTTCAAGGTTAGATGAATTTGTTTTTGGCCTAATTTTTGCATAGATTCATGATCGACCAGATTTTGCTAAATTTCTTGTTATCATCTAAATTTCATCTTTATACTAACACATATTTGATGGACCTCTTATGGCAATTAACAGGCTAACCTATTTTTCTGTCATCTTTTTTTGAATCACCTCATTCTCTTTTAAGTATATTGGTATTTGTCCATTCCATCTCACATTCATCACCATCTGCATTTCTGTGTGAGCTTTATAAATATACCTCAGATATCAGAACAGTCACAACTGAATAGCGAGTCACATTAGTCTGAGTAAGTTGCTGTCACATCACTGCTGATACCATTTTTCACACTACTTTTTTTGGCTATCTGTTGCCTTCAGAATTAATGCCCTTTGAAAGAGTTTAGCTTATTAAAGATAGATGGTGACAAAAAGTTTTTCAAGTACAACCTTATTGATCCTCTTACAAAAGATAATTTCCCCTAAGAGGCTATTCTTTCATTGGCATGTGAGCTATTGCATAGTGTATGATAGGAGACATCTGTAGTGGTGCTGCTTACATGGTCAGATCCAGTCAAGAGTGCACTTTTCTTCCTGGTTCTCACTAAAACTAATTGCCTGTCATTTCTTTCTTTATGCTTAGTGTATTTAGCCCTTTGACTACACCTAGTTTTTGTTTTTGCTTTTGTTTTTTTTTTTTCCTTTTTAAAGTTCCCTTGTTTCTCTTCCCCTTGCATCCCAATAGGTCTCTTGATGGTCGTCTTCAGGTCTCACATCGGAAAGGGTTGCCACATGTTATATATTGCCGATTATGGCGCTGGCCTGATCTTCATAGTCATCATGAACTCAAGGCAATTGAAAACTGCGAATATGCTTTTAATCTGAAAAAAGATGAAGTATGTGTAAACCCTTACCACTACCAGAGAGTTGAGACACCAGGTAGGAAAATTAGGGTTTGTTTCCTGGTTTTAAATTAAATGGCTGAACTGAAGTCTACTTAGGTACTCCTTGTGACCCAAGGAATTTTTGTTAAAATTGTAATAAACTGTATTAAATTAAGCATATTATTTGGTAGGAGTTAAAGTGCTTTCTTAAAAAAAAAAAAAGTCTATGCATAAATACCTTGGAGGTAAAGGGATATTCCCATTTCTTGGGATAACACACTGTTGGACATCAAGGTACATATCTAGGAAATCCCTTGCTGTTTGTTGCCAGTAATAAAGCTAAGAACTGTACATGTGCATCTACAGTAGTCCCTATTTTCAAACATTTTGCTCTTTGAGTGGTTTCAGAAGTACTTGAATGACAACATTTATATATTAGTCACTTAGCAAAGCTCATAAGACTTTCGGTTTAGTGAGTTGTAGGCTTAAAACTTAAAGGGGGGTGCTGCATTTTTAGAAAATTTCTTAAATCTGAGTTTAATGAAGACCAGTTTTCCCTTGCCTTTTCTGATGAAATTTTATGAACTCTAATGATAAACTTTGAGTTCATATTGCCCCTCCCGCCTCCTTGCTGCTAACTCTGCTTTCTCTAACTCTTTCAGTTTTACCTCCAGTATTGGTTCCCCGGCACACTGAGATTCTAACAGAACTTCCGCCTCTGGATGACTACACTCACTCCATTCCAGAAAACACTAATTTCCCAGCAGGAATTGAACCACAGAGTAATTATATCCCAGGTACTTTTGCCTTGTGAATCTCCTAAGACTTAGGTAGATAAAATCTTGTGATGTGTATACTAGCACCATGGTTTCACTTTTCAGAATGCTCTTGGATTTGGATAGGAAAGTCTGCTTTGTTGGGTGATTATTTTATGTAATGTTTATGTCTAGTATATTAAACAGCTTTTGTTGGGAGAAAATTTTTACTTTTTATTTCTTTTTCTTTTGCAGTGGCTTTAGTCAAAGTTCTGTAAGAAACAAAAAAGGAAAATATCTTAGTAAGTTTGCCTTAGTTGTTGAAATTGAGAGAAGGGGACACAGAATACAAGCATAATACATGGTTCAGGAAAAAAGTATTCCTGGAACAAATATAACTAAAAAAATCTGCCAGGTAATCAGTTTTTCTTAATTCGGTAGTGTTTAAGGTAAATATGGGCAGTTGAGTTTTCTAGCTGCTCCAACACTTAACACTGAAAATGAGAAAACCACTTAGTTATGTTTCTCATGACCCTTAATAACTTCTAATGAAAAGTGCATGAATTCAACTGCATGGTTCTCAGATTTCACTGTGTGTATGCCTGTGTGTAACACATGTGGAGGCAGGAGGACAACTTTGTGTAGTCAGTTCTCTCCTCCCACCTTTTTGTGGATTCAGGGGATTGAACTCAGATCACCAAGTTTGCTCAGACCCCACTGAGCCATCTTGCTGGGCCTCAAATTCTACTTTTGACTGCTCTGTTTTACGTGAGTCAGTAATATTACATAATACAATATCTGCCCTTACTGTTTTTGCTAGTTTTAGGAAAATATTTTATTACTTATTTCTTATTTCTTTGCTTTTCTCCCAGCAGAAGCTAATTAGGATTTAAGTATATTATGCTTTTTTAGTGTCTGTCGGTTGTCTTTTTCTAATGGTTTTCTGTTTAACATTTTATTTATAAAACTAAAAGCATGCAAGAAACCAGACTTTCAAGTACCTTAAAAAAACTATTTCTTAAGTGTGTTGTTCCATTATGAAAATAATGCTTGTTCATTGAAAGTAATTTTAAAAGTATAACAAAGAAGGTTTTTGTTATTCATTTATGTTAAAAGCTTGTTTTTCAGGTATGAAATAGTTTCTTATTAAATCTTGTTTTTACTGATTTATTCCAAAAGACGAGATTTATAACTATCCCTGACCCTCCCCCCCATCCACCAGCCCCCCACCAAGATTGCTGGTATATTGAAACTTTTTTGTGACATTAGGAGGAATGAGGAGAGAATTGGTGCAGGACTTGGAGTAAGACATTTCCTTTATAGAAGAATTCAGCCTGTTCCATAAGCTTTGACTAAGAAGTAGAGTGAGGGAGAGGGAGAGAGGAAGGATAAGACAGGGAGCATTTTAAGTCTTCTATGTGGAAATTACTGTTACTTGGTAATGCTAGCAAATTTAAGGCATAAGGCACATTCTTGGAAGACACTCATCAGATAGTTAATTGCAAGGGTATTAATCAAAATATTTAGTGGTCTTCAAATTGTAGAACTATTTGGGCTTTTTTCTTCATTCTCTTAACTGTTTAGATGTTAGTATTTTATAAAGTAGGAAATTAGAAATGAGGCATACGAGTTGCTTTTCTGAACATTGAACCTTTTATTCAGCTCCAAATGACAATAAAAGAATTCTTTTCTCCCACGTCAAAAGTACTTTTAACATTTTCTCTAAAATGCTAATACCTTATTAATTTGCAGATAAATAATAATGGAAGATTAATAAATACAATAAGATGAAGTGTTTTACTGTTCAAATTTTCTTCCAACTTGGACCTTTGAAACATTGGTGTTCAGACTGGCAAAACTTGGTTCTTTTTAATCTTTAAAATAGTGCATAATGGTATAAATTGTTCTCATTTTTATTCTTTATTGTTTGAGTATATGAAGATACTTTGTTTTTAAATTTCTAGTATTCAGCATTTTGGTGTACTGATTTAAATGAAAAATTTGATTCTTGAGTTAAAATTTATGGTTTATTATTGAAGTTAAAAAGTAAGGGGTCAGTAAGGGAGGCCTCTAACCACATCTTCCTCCTCTTCCTCCTTGAAGAATGTTAGACTACTTTTATGCTGTGCGTCTGCATTATCTCAAGTTGCTGTTAAACACTGGAGATGTTACACTGTTGAATCTTTTGAACTTTTTCCTCCCTTAAAATAATGTGTGATGAAATTGGGTGAATATTTTTATTTTTTGTGACCCTTACTCAGGTGCCTCCTGAATATAAACATTGTATTCAGAAAGTGTATTGGAATGACATGTTATTAGAATCCTAATACTTTTAGCAAGTGTTTTGTGTCTGTTTTCTGCAGTACTTTATACTTGGATTTTTCTGTTTCAGGCACTTAGAATTTAATACTAGTTGGATAATCCCTGAAAAAAATAACTGTTTTTTAAGTAGAATTCAGGCTCTCGGGTTAGAGTCATTTAATAACTTGCCCTATTCAGATTAGTGTAAAAAATGTGCCTGTAGTAGTTTTTGGAATCTGAAACCTGTCATGTTCATCAGTCTTCTAAGAAGTAATCTATGGTGTCTATTAAAAAACAAAACAAAATTGAAGGTACTAATGTATTTGCAGCCTACTGAGAGCCATATTTGAAGTTTGTTTTTGGCAGTGTATGTATGCAAGAGCCCCACCTATTAGTAAATAATGTTTAAGAAAATAATGCCAAGAGACATGGATTGTATTTTAAGTAGGGTTTAGGGATTCTCCTGGAAGATTTGGATTAGAACCTGAACTGTAAACCTTCAGTATCCAATTTTGATTTTTATAATAATATATAATAATTGTTTTGGTTTTTGGAATGATTCATTGGTGGTATTTGGTAGCTAGGAGAAAAGCCAAAATCAAATCAACTATACCTGATTTGTTCTAAACTTTTATAGAAACCCCACCACCGGGATATATCAGTGAAGATGGAGAAACAAGTGATCAACAGTTGAACCAAAGTATGGACACAGGTAAATATGACTTCCAAGTTTTCTCAATAATCAGTCATTGAGTTGGCTTTCTGTGATCTCAAGTTCCATATCCTTAGAGTCAACCAACCATGGATCAGAAATATTTGAGAATGTAAATTAGTTTTGGAGGAGCTAGCAAAGATGGCTCGGCAGCTAAAAGTGTTTGCAACTAGGTCTGACAACTTGAGTTCAACCCTCAGAACCTACATGGTAGGAGAGAACCAGATTCTACAAGTTGTCCCTTGGCCACTACTTGTGCGTTATGGCATGCACATGCCCCCCCCCCCACACACACACAATGCAAAAATTTGTTCTGTAAATTGAACACGAATAGTTCTTTTTTAGGACCCTTAATAGTATGGTATAAACAACTATTTATATAGCATTTCTGATGCTGTTTTTATAGGAGACTTGAACATCTGCAGTACTTTGGTATCTGCAACAGGTCCTAGAACTAGTTGCTTGCAACTCGCTAGGGATTGCTATATATTTCTTCGATTGTTTGAACCTTACAAGAGACACCGCTCCTAAACTTAGAAGATTTTCTGATTTTTAGTGTATTTCTCAACTTCTCTATTTAATAATGTCTGACCCATCAAAGGTGGCATGTTACCACTAAAAGATGAACATGCACTACCCTGCACAGTAATTGTTAGTTTTCTCATTAGAGTCAGTGAAACTTTGAAAATACTCAAATGTTTGTTTTCAGATATTCTTTGTTACTGCTCAAAGTTTTAATTACTCCATGAATAAAAGGCCATAATCACCGTAATCATGGGTTTTCAAAAGGATTTGATAATGGAAGAATGGGACAAGTTTGTACTTCTGAATTGTGGTAGGTTATTTACACAAAACCACCCTGTCCCTGATTTAAATTTGATTAATTTCTGATAATTAGCTGTTATATCCAAACAATGATGGTGAAGTTTTGCTATATAACAATAAATATTGCATACGTCAAAGGTTTACACTAGTTGTTATATAATAAAGTATATAACCTAGTAGAACCAAATAGGTTACCATTGATAGTGCTTTGATACCAGTGTAATTGTATTTTTCTGTATTTTAAGGATTAGTTAGCCACTCTAATATCATAACTCAACAAATTCTGCCTACAGCCTTTCTATACATCTTATACCAACATATCCTGCAGTTATGACAATGTGTTTTTTGTTTCTTTTGTTGTTGTTTTGAGACAGTGTCTTACTGTGTAACTCAGATCCTCCTGTTACACTCTCCCAGGTGCTAGGATTACAGGCCTGAGCCACTATCCCTAGCCCATCTAAATTATTTTTAAATGGCTTAACATTCAAGGGGGAAGAGGAGAGCTTTTATAAGTATTCTGTTTGAATCTTTTATATGTTAGGTACTGTCCTAGTTTGTTTCTTCATTGCTGTGACAAAACACTCTGACCAATACCAACTTGGGGAAGAAAGGGTTTATTTAGCTTCTATGTCCTGGGTCACAGTTCATCAGGGAACCCAAGGTAGGAACTCAGGGCAGGAACCTGGAGGCAGGAACTGGAGCACAGGCCATGGAGGAATGCTGGTTACTGGCTTAGCTCCCCTGGTCCCTGCTCAGCCTGTTTTCTTATGCAACACAGGCCCACCTGCCCAGGGGTGGCACCACCCACAGTGGGCTGGGCCTTCCCACATCATACAACAGTCAAGAAGATACCCCACAGACATGGCCACAGGCCAGTTCAATGGGGGAAATTCCCCAATTAAGGCTCCCTCAACCCAGGTATGTCAAGTTGACACCAAAGCTATCCAGCACAGGTGCCCAGGAAAGATGCTTCTACTGTAGTTAATATTCATGGCTGACTATAAGAAAAGCAGGTAGACAGCCAGCTGGGTGTGGTGGCGCACGCCTTTAATCCCAGCACTTGGGAGGCAGAGGCAGGTGGATCTTTGTGAGTTCGAGGCCAGCCTGGTCTACATAGTTCCAGGTCAGCTGGGGCTACAGGGAGACCCTGTCTCAGAAAGACCAAAAAAAAGAATAGCAGGTAGAAAAGTAGATAATCTAATGATTGGAAATAACATGCTACATGTGTTAATACAAATGATATCTGGCTTTGCAAGTCTATCTCCTTAACACTTCTGAATGCCAGAGAACACTTCCTTGAATCAACAATATTTTTTGCACTATGATGGGTAGTAGCTGTTACTGTGACATTTGAAAGTGAATAGCATATAAAGTTGTTGCATATCATAAACCGCAATGAAATAGTACTTCATACCTAATAGATGCTGTATAGAAAGCAATTATAAGCAAGTATTAGTGAGGCTGTGAATAAAGTGAAGTGAAGCCCTTGTACATTGCTGATAGGAATATAAAGTGGTTTTCATCACTTTGGAAAACCTTGTTATTCCTAAAAATTAAACTTAAAATTACATGTAGTCTAACGTTCCACTTCTAGATATATACCCAATAGAATTTAAACAGGTCTACATAAAACTTGGGCATGAATGTTTGTGTTGTAAACATTATTTGTATCATTGCACGACTAGAAATAACCTAGATGTCTAGTGCATTTTGAATGGATAAACAAACATGAGGTATGTCCTTACAGTAGATTTACTCCTACTGTGCAAAAGAATGATAGTACATAAACTGCTTAACATAGTACACGTTCTGCTTATAGTAAACGAGTCAAAATTGCTCAGCCAATTGCAGTGTTGGAGCTGTCTTTGAACCTGACTTGAAAGTTGTAATTCTATTTGTGTAGATCACTATTATTGACACATTTAAAATTACTTTCTGTGGGGCTAGAGAGATGTCTCATTGGTTAAGAGCTCTGGCTGCTTCTGCAGAGGACCTGGATTTGGTTTCCAGCATTTATATGGTGGCTAATAACTGTCTGAAACTCCAGTTCCAGGGGGATCCAATGCGCTCTTCTGACTGTGAGCATTGCTCACGTGGTTGCACTTGCACGCAGGCAAAATACTCATATACGTGAAAAATAAAATAAAATTACTTCCTATAATGATAGTGTGAACTTCTCACTCAGTGCCATGGAAAGTTGTGACAGGTTGTGGCAGCATACCTGTACTTCCCAGCTACTGATATTTACAAGGGTGATGCAGGAGAATTGCTTGTGCCCAGGAGTTCTAGGATAGCCTGGGAAATAGCACTGTTTCAAAGTGTGCATGCATGCCTTTGTGTGTATGTGTAGGGGGAGGGGGAAGAAAGGGAGAGAGAGGAAGAAAGAGGAGACAGAGATAGGATATGTTCTGGTGGGTGTAGAGTGCCAATTTAGAACAATTTTTGTTTCATTTTATATAACTGCTTCATACCTTGAGTGGAGAGGGACACAAATTCATACTCAACACCTTGCTGAGATAGAATGAATGAATAGTTTTTAAAGGATAATCAGAGGACAAACTAAGCAGACTAAGGAACTTTCTATGATTCAGCACATGTTCCCCCTTTTTGACTTTTTTCCTTTTTGCCTTCATTCTTCAATTTGAGTCTTATGGATTTCAGAGATCATATTAGGTAGCTAGAAAAATTTAAAAGTTTGATTAACCTTTGTAGTATTTGGTAATCCCTTTTCAAGCCTTGATGAAATTTTTATAAATTTAAAAGTGTTCAAATAACTATATAGTGAAATAAATAGAGCATACTATGTAAATTCTGTAACTAGCAATTCAGTTTTGTATCTTCTAAAGGTCTTGTGCTTGGTCCAAGCTATACAAAGATGCGGGCTTAAAAGATTTGAATCTTCCTGTATTGTTTGGTTAAATTGTGTCTTCTTAAAGATAAATGAAGTTCTAACCTCCAGTACCTCAGAATGTGGTCTGACTTAGAAATAGAGACTTTGCAAGTATGATTAAAATGAATCTTAATGTAGGTCCTTAGTCCTCTAGGATTTGTATCCTAAGAGAAAGGGCATGTAGAGAGAATACCATAGGAATGTGTAGGCATCTGTTGGAAGCCAGGCAGTGCCAAGGATTGTATAAAACACTAGAAACTTAAGACTTAAGAGAAAGGCAGGGACCAGATATTCTCCTGAAACCTCTGAGGGAGCATAACCCTGCTGGCAGCTGTAAGAAAACTGTCAGTTGTTGAGACCCTCCATTTTGAGGTATTTTGCTACATAAAGTCTAGGTGGCTAATACAAGACAGGTTTAGAGAATATATTAATATTGATAACTTATATTTGGTCACTTGAGAGTTATATGTAGGTTTGGCTGGAGAGATGGCTCCAGAGGTGAATAGCACTGGCTGCTCTTGCAGAGGATCTGGACAGAGGACCTGGATTCAGCTCCTAGCATCCACATGGTGGCTAATAACTGTTGGTAACTCCAGTTCTAGGGGGATCCAATGCCCTCTTCTCACCTCTACGGGCATTGCGTGCACAGGTGCATTTACTTATGCAGACAAAATACTGATACACAAACAATAAAAACAAATAAATAGAAATATATATATATATATATATATATGTACTTAATATGTTGTGTTTTTAAAATACT